TAGGACTGCGGGGTGGGGGGCCCCCTGGGACTGCGGGGTGGGTGCTGAGTGAGGCTGCCCACAGGCCTGCACGGAGATGAGCCTGACCTTCTCCAGCAACAACCAGACGGACCTCTTCCCCGCGCTGCCCTTCACGGAGCAGCTCCGCCAGCAGTACTGCCTGGACACCTGGGGCGTGTGGCCCCGGAAGGACTGGCTGCACACCAACTTCGGGGGGGGCGGTGAGGTTGGGGGCGGGGGCTGAGCTGGGGGTCTGAGCTGCCTGCCCCACAGCTCACTGAACTCGGGGCCCCACCTGGTCCCCCCAACCTACTCTGTCCCTTCCAGACCTCAGAGCCGCCAGCAACATCATCTTCTCCAACGGTGACCTGGACCCCTGGGCAGGGGGCGGGGTGAGTCCCTGCGGGGCTCCCCATGGGGCTGGGCCACACCCACACCCGGTCTGCACCTCCTCACCCTCCTGGTTGATGGGGTCGCCTCTCCTCTCCAGTGAGGCCAGTCGAGGCTGCACAGCCTCCTGTGGTTACTGCTCTAGCTGCACCCCCGCGGCACGTGCAGCCTGTGCAGGGCTGGGGGCTGGCTGCCGGAGCCCCCGCCCCCCGCACACCTGACGGGCGTCTGACTGACAGATCCAGAGGAACCTGAGTGCCTCCGTCCTGGCCATCACCATCCGAGGGGGAGCGCATCACCTGGACCTCAGGTACAGCCGCTGGGAGGGTGCTGGCCTGCCCGGCCCTGGCTGGACCTGGCCGGCCGCTGACCCCCCCCCGACTCACCCGGCCGCCCCCCCGTCCGTCCGCGAGGCACGCCAGCTGGAGGCCGCCCTCATCGGCCAGTGGGTGGAGGAGGCCAGGCGGGCGCAGCACGGAGTCTCCGAGGACGAGGGGCGCCCCCCCCGCTAGGACCCCGAGGACTCCAGGGCGCGTGCTGGGGGGGGGCTGAGCAATGCAGGGGCCTCGCCAAGTCCCATGGAGGAGGGAGAGGACGTGGGGCACGCGTGCCCAACCTTCCCCATCATCAGTCACAATAAAACAGTCCTGAACCCCCAAGTTTGCTGTTTGTCGGCTATGGGGGCCTGCTCTCATGGGCCAGCTGAGTTGTGACGCCAAACACCGGAGGCCAACCCAGCGACTCCACCTCCCTCCTCTGTTTTCAATGTCACCACCAGCAAGGGATGCTCCCCAGGAGCCCCGCCCCTCCCCCCTCCCGTCCATCTCTGGAGGCCCTGGGCCTGGGCAGAGGTGCCTCAGGCCCAACCTCTTGCAGAGGAGCCCACCCTCAGCCATGGGGCCTGCACGGGGGCGGGCGCAGAGGCCACTTCAGGGCCAGGCCTGCAGCTTTCTGACCCAGGAGAGGCGGGCTGGGCCCTGGACCTGCAGGGAGTCAAGGGCATGTGTCCATGTCCGAAGGCCCTGGCCCCTGGGAGCCCAGACCTTGGCAGAGCTGCGTCTCCTCGGAGAGGCCTGGCTCCAGAGCGAAGAGCATTTCCTGAAGACGCTGAGGGCAACGGGCTGCCAGCTGAACAGGGCGGAGGGCCCTGGGGCCGGGACCCAGGCAAGGCCGGGGGTGGTCTCTGTGGAAACGAACTGTCAGCCCTGAGGTGGGAGCTGCCGGAGGGGAGGGGCCCCCTCAAGACCACGTCCGGGAAAGCAGCACCTGGGGTGAGAGGTGCCCGCGGGTCCTGAGCTCAGCGGATGGGGAGGGTGACCAGCCCAATGCCCCACCCACCCGTGCCAGGTGCCACACCACATGCGCGCGCGCACACACACACGGGTGCATACACACACCCACGTGCACACACATACACACGGGTGCATACACACACCCACGGGCACGCACACACATGCACACACGGGCGCATACACACACAGGCACACACATACACACGGGTGCATACACACACCCACGGGCACGCACACACATGCACACACGGGCGCATACACACACGGGCACACACATACACACGGGTGCATACACATACCCATGGGCACACACATGCATGCACATGCACCCACACACACGCGCGCGCACACAGCAGCGCGGAGCAGATCTACTTTATCCCGAGTGAAGGTCCGTCCCATCGGGAGGCCGGCGCAGGGCACACCTGCCCGCCGCCCCCGTGGGATCCCTGAGTCCAACACGTAAACAGCACAGCCAGCCAGGTGCCCCGGCCAGTGGGGCTACAGACACCCCGAGACCTCGGACAGGACAGGGCCGCAGACAGACCCCGAGGCCGAGCTGTTCTCTGGTCCCTCGCTGTTGCCCTGAACACGTGGGCCTGGGGACCCCGAGGCTGGTCCCCCCGAGGCCCGTGCGCTGGCTGGCAGGGCGTCCAGGTTTCAGGAATGTGAGCCGTGATCTGAGATCCTCAGGAAGGAGGCGGCCCGTGGACGGGACCCCTGAGCGCAGCGCTGGTCTCCCTCCTGGTCCCGATGTCCCGAGGGAACACAGCTGGGCAGACACCTGCTGCCTGCGGCCAACCCAGCGCCTCACGGCCCGGGTATGGCCCGGCCCAGCTGCCTCCTGGCCTGCTGTCCAGCTGGGCCGACACCACACGGCCAAGGTCCAAGGAGGGTGGGCCTATCCAGGGCCCGGGCCCTGCTGCCAGGCCCCTCCAACAGCAGAAGTGAGACCCCAGGGCAGCGCCCCGTGGGCCTGCCCTACGCGGGGGCCCAGATGGGCAGGGGGTGGGCCTCGGTGTTGAACACGTAGGAGTCCAGGCTGAGCAGCTCCCTGTCGTCAGAGAAGAGCAGGAACAGGTACTTGAGCGTCTCCCCCAGGAAGAAGCTCTCCATCTTGTCCCTGGGCTGTGGGTTGTGCGGGTCCTGGACGTTGCTAATGGAGGAGTAGCCACCGGAGGGGACCTGGAAGAGCGCAGGCAGGGTCACTGCGTGGGCACAGCCGCTCCCTCCTCAGGGCAGCGGCACGGCCTGGCAGGGCCTGGAATGGGGGCACTGAGGG